AAAGTATTTTTATATAATTAATTAAATAAACTTTAGGCACTAGAGGCCTTTCAAAAAATTTTTTGAAAGGCCTCTAGTTTTTTGGAAAAAAAAAAAAAAATATTTTTAGTAATAAATATTTTGAGAAAAAAAGATTTACTTTTGTTTACTGGCTTAACTATCTTTTGCTTTATATTGGTTAAAAATCATATTTCTAGTTAAAAATCATATTTCTATATATATATATATATATATATATATATATATATATATATATATATATATATATATATATATATATATATATATATATATATATATATATATATATATAAATATATATATATATATATATATATATATATATATATATATATATATATATATATATATATATATATATATATATATATATATATTAGGGTAATAACTATTTTCATAAAATAATTGTTTTTACTAAACTTGCTCCAACATGGGGCAGTTTTAGTAAAAATGATTATTTTATTATTGATATATTTTATTTTCTGTTTCAGGTGCAAACATAAATTATATATAATCTGGAGTATTTTATAATATTTTAGAATATTGTAGATTAATTACCTCGTTTTCAGTGCAAGATTGCAAGTCATCCAGAAAAGACATTTTGTCACTTCAATAAAATGTCTTATAGATATTCCAGAAATAGTATAGAATCAAACAGGTGTATCTGGATAAAAAAGCTACCCTATTCTTCCAAAAATAAAAGAAATCTAAATATTCCATCTGTTAAAAAACTAACCAATCTCACGTGGATGCCGACAAACCATCAAATTCTTTGAAACTTTTTTGTTCAATAGCTAGAAACGGCAACTGGATCGAATTAAGATTATGATTACAGATATAAAAAAGCTTTGGGAGGAAGTTCTAGACTTTCCACTATTATCTAGCGCACTCATAAGAAAGATGCTCAACAATCTGATTGATTTATTCAACAAAAACAAAAAGAAACCATCTGATAAATTCACTGCAACACTTTCTCAGTTATTTGATGTCACCAATGTTAATGGAAAAACACAGAAGATTAAAAGCTCTACTAGAGATTGGTTATTCAATGATTGGTTATTCAATGGTCAAACAAGCTCCTCTGGAATCAATCCACCCAAGAAAACGAATCCGACTATCAAAAAATCAAACCCAAGCCAGCTCTTCTCAATTGCATCCCACACAAACTCATAAAACTGTCTCAGATTCTTCGGATTCTGAAACTTCTGTTTTCTCACCCGATTCGCAAACCTCTTCTTGTACGTCATCTCCTGAATGCAAACCGAATTACCTACAGCAGCTGGTTTACTAGTATTGAAAAACAACATTTCTACACAAAAAGCACATGACGTTCTTGCAACCATTGCTAAACAAGATGTGCCGGTTCCAAGGCAGGCAGGTGTCTGGAAAAGAGTAATCTCTGAAAGACAGAAAATAAAAACCAAAATTGCTCATAAACTTAAGGGCAAAGATCGATATTGTCTCCAGTTTGATGGTAAAAGAGTGCATGGAATATAGTAAAGAATACCAAGTAGTTCTGCTGAAAAATATGACTACCGAAATCAAACTCGGTATTCTTAAATGTGAGAATGGTTCTGCTGCGGCCATTCACAAGGAAGTACATCAGCTAATTGATGAATACAATGCATAAGAAAATATTTGCATGATAATCTGTGACACGGCTGCAGTAAATACTAGTCGTCTGCATGGGATTGTAAAGCTAATACAAGATGATGTTTTGAGCAAGGGCTTTCAGAAACCACAATATATTGTCTGTCAGCAGCATGTTCTTGACCTCCTTCTGAAACGTCATGAATTTTTTTATTCAAGAGCCAATGAGCAAACAAGAACTCAATTATTCCTTCATTGATAAATTAACAGAGAATTATGTTTCTCTTCAGGATGATTACTGTCTATATGCAACAGATGATGTTAACACAGGCAAAAACTCTGCATGGCGAGATGATTTCAAGTTCTTATATGAACTATGTCAAGCGTATCGTCATTACAAAACAACTTCACACTGGCCTCGAATAAACTGGAAGAAACTCCCAAATGTACACCAAGCAAGATGGAACTCTCTATTACTTTTATTATTTTGGATAAAGCTAAAAAACATGTCCTTTTTTGAAAAAAAAACATTTTTTCATTTTTCTTTTTCTGTGTGAGTGGGGGAACTTTTTTAAAAAACATCAAAAATGCAATTTATATTCTTGAATTACACATAAAGTGGTTTCATAATTTTTTTTTTTTTTAATAACCCTAATATATATATATATATATATATATATATATATATATATATATATATATATATATATATATATATATATATATATATATATATATTATTTAAATGAAGAAAAACAACATTATAATAGTACTTGAAGTTTTGTGCTTTTCGGCAATCATTCAAAATCAATCAAACCACTTGCAATCAAAGTTTCCTTGATTGCAAGTGGTTACATAAAAAAATTTTTTTTGTTTTAACCCTAATATA